GTAGAAGCCTGAAGATTAGATGATTCAGGAGTTTGCCGCCCAGGGTTTCCCAAAAACTGGCTCATGTTCCGTACATGTCTAGCATCTTCAATCGCACATCATCATGAGAGCTCATTGTACCTTGAAAAATGCTTGGGAGAGACAATTTCGTGCGCGTGAACAGACAATTCCGTGTGCGTGAGACAGACAAATGTATAAAAAGTGTGCACCAAAATGTGGAACAAACGAGTGTACAAAAACAACCCATTTAATTGGTCTTTGGTATTTTTTTGCATATTCAGGCTTACCCATTTTGTGTCCTCCAAACAGCCTCTAAATTGTCGAAGTGATTATTAAAATTGCGGATGAATTGATCTAATCGGAATCATCGGATACATTATGAAAAAATATGTTGAAAATATTGTCAAAAAACTATATAGGGAGTATTTTTTTTATAGAAAAATTACATTTGACATATATTTTATAACTAAGGTTAAAAATTATATAGAAAAAAAGAATATTGTCTCCTCAAATTCAACAACTTTTATGTAGCTCGAAAGACTTCAAATTGTTCTCCCAAATATAGCATTCATTTTATTATCCATTACTAATTATCCAAATTTTCATTAAAAATGTAAATTGACAGATGTTAAAGAAGGTAGATAATATCTTTCTTACTTCGTATAAAAATATGTTCAATAAAATTGATGATAAAAAATAAATTTTACAAACACTTTGATATAAACATAGAGTAAAGTGCATTGAAAAAGCATTTCTAGTTAAAAAATGAAGGAAGCAGCTTCAGACAAGCCACGTGTGGGTAGTGCCCGGCCTTCGTTGCGATCTCTTCGTCTCAACCTCAACACTGTCCCCCCAACGCTAAAGTACGCCATTATCGTTCTGGATATTTATCCATAGTACAGGATCAAGTAAAGTAGGCTTCGCATATACTACTACTTTATATAAACAATCTTACACTTCTTTCATTAAATTATAGATGAATTCAATTATCTCAGATTCTTAATTTGTTTATATTAAGTATTATTATTGAACTTATACATGTGAATAAAGTAAGAAAAAATTGTAATCACTCAAATATTACCAAATATGATATGAAACAATTAATCTTAATGGAATTGACGAAAACTAATCGAGACAAAGTTCGGAGATGAAGATAGTAGTTTATTTTTAACCTTGAGATAGTACGTACTCAAAGTTAAATTTTACTACAGAATAAATATTGTTAATTATGTATTAATCTTAGTGTAAGATTAGTGTTGAAAGTAGGGATGGACCGGGCTGGGCAGCCCGACCCGAGACTGAGCCGGGACAGGTACTATTTGGCCCGGCCTGGGCCTGGTTTACCGGGACCGGTACCGGTCCGGTACCTGAATCGGTGGTTATAAGGGACGGGCTTCAGGATTGATTTTTTGGGCCCGATCCTGGCCCAATGGCTTTTTTTAATTAAATGGGTGAGTACCGACCCGTGTCCAATACTGTTTGGGCGAACCGAAACCGGTAACGAAATACACCGGACTAGTATCGAGCTCCACTTTTCAAGATCCAGTGCCGCCGAGCCCGGTCCGACCCAACTCGTGTCCATCCCTAATTGACACGAGTTCATGCGTCTATTTTTCTACAAATTTTAAACCTAACGACTACAATCAATAGTTAATAGTAGTATCACACAATAATTGTGTATTCTACTACATGTGTCTTAACTCTTAAGCTTATCTTACTTGATCAATTTCTTGTATTTATTTTATACATTAATTAATTCTTGTATTTATTTTGGACATAAATTTATATACTACAATCACTATTCTAAAAATCGACCTAATCGGACCGATTAATCGGCCTAATCAGCCCAAACTATGGAGGCCTAGTCGGTCAAAAATCGGTCTAATCTGCCAAAATATTGGTCTAGTGGGCCGCCTAGACGCCCCTCAACCGTCCGACTTGCGACTAACGAGTTTTAGAACAATGACTACAATAGGATAGACTCCACCGTCACTGGATGCCCGAAGAAGAACCTTCCCCGTGGTCATGTCCTTTACAAAAACGAAATTTTTATAAAAAACGACTACAATGACTAAAAAATAGCTAATGTATTTTAAATTGAGTTTGTTCTAATCCTCCCCCCAATTTCTGTTTATTTCATTTATGCTGAAGAGGTTTTGGCCTAGTCCCCCTCTTCATTATTTTTTATCCCGTTTCATTATTTTTTTAATAAAATATGGTCCCACTGATTTTGGTGTTTGGCCTTCTAGGTAAAAAGTAAAGGGCAGTAAACTACAATCAGTCCAGTCCAACAGTCCATTGACTAATGGGCCATAGAAATGAACTTTCCCAACCGGGTGGTACCGTTCCAGGTGCTATAAAGCTAAGCCAGTTCAGCCCTTTCATGCTCTGCAGTGGCTCGGACTCATGTTCCTTGCCGTGAACCCCCATCAATCCCAGCCGCTAATCTCTCATACAGCGAATCACCAGAGTGGTGTGGGGCCCGCTCAATCTAACCAATCCGCCAGTCCGCGATATATAGATAACCCGCGTCATTTATTATTCTGTGCATCGCATCGCACGGACTTGATTTGATTTTCCCGATTGATCCAATTCCGCCGGGAAATGACGACCTACGGCACAATCCCGACGTCCTCCGCTGGCGGTGCCACCGTGGAGTACATCTCCCGCGCGAAGGACACGATAAAGGAGGGGCTAGCCACGCGGCGGCCATGGCGGGAGATGTTCGACATTCACTCCGTCCGCCTCCCCTCCAACTTCCACGACGCGGTGGCTCGATTCAAAATCAACATCAGCTACTTCCGGATGAACTACGCCCTCGTCGTCCTCCTGATTCTCTTCCTCAGCCTCCTATGGCACCCGATCTCGCTCATCGTTTTCATCGCCCTAATGGCTGCGTGGCTATTCCTTTACTTCCTCCGCGACGAGCCTTTAGTGATCTTCCACCGCGAGATTACCGATCGTGTGGTGCTGATTGTTATGTCCGTACTCACGATATTTCTGCTCTTCTTTACCAACGCCACCTGGAATATTGTCGTATCTCTGATAATCGGAGCACTGGTCGTTGTTGCTCATGGCGCTCTCAGGAAGACCGACGATTTGTACTTGGATGAGGAATCCGGCGGTCTATTGGCCAGCCATCCTCCGGCTGCTCCATTGGCTTAATGTACTGTATGTGTTTATGTATTTTTGTTGCGCAATTATTTGCTTGTTATTTTTAAATTGTTATCATATTTATGGCTTTTGTTGTAAATGTAGATCTGTTGCTTTAGTTTTTGGAAGAAAAAATAAGCTCTAAAAACTGAAATCATCTTCATCTTCTTAAAGCTCGATTTCGGTTTCTATATATTTTCACAGAAGGGAATGTTATGAAGTTATTGGCTGAATGCTTAAATCAAAACATGGATACTCCAACAATAGAAGCAGAGGGCATAAGATGCTCTCTTAGTGTGGTACTGTTGCTGGCAAATTACAAGATAATCCTGTTGTAGTTCTACATTTGAGTATTTTTATACTTTTTTCTTTAACATTTCCTCATTTTGATTCAATAATACTCCTTTGAATGCAAAAATGCTCATTTTATGATTTCAATGTTCCATACTTGAACATCACCTCCATCTTTGAGAGTAAAAATGGGAGGATATTCCGAGTCTAATTTTTCAAAAGCTTTCAAATTTAATATTTTACCAGCTTCAATCTGAGTGTAATTTTTCTAAATTTTACTTGTCAAGATTTACTACTATTTAATCTGTTAGCGAAGAGTAAATCGTAAAACAAAGTTTTAAATTTTCAATAATAAAGATATCACTTTGATGGCTTTTATGACGTTGAACAACTGTTCCCCAACAAGACTTCCATTATAACAAGAACGGTTGTCGGACGTCCTTAATGTTCTTTTAAAAAAAGACGTATCCACCAAACCATAATATTAAAATGTATTTGAACAAAATTTAGCTTCGTTCTGACATTTTAGGGGTATTCTATTAGCAAACCAAACCAACTTGTACGCAAACATTTAATCTCTTCACTTGTGTGAGCAAGGAAATTAATCTGTGTATCAGTACACTTCGTACAAACGGGTACAAAATGATAGTCTTACTTAACATGATCTCACATATCTTTCCGCCTTTAACATCTCATGTTGTGAGACAGTCTTGCATTCTACACATGAGACATGACCATAAGTGGTATTTTATCAAAAAATTGTTTTTTTAAAGTACTCTATTACCTTCAGAAAAATAGAGTCCTATTAACTTAGACTACGAAAGATTACATTTTGATCAAAACTTAGGGCTAGTTTGCAAACGCTTTAAAAAAGCACTTCTCGGCTTTTGGATTTAAAAAAGCACTTCTTTTACCAAACACTACAACTTTTATTTTTCTCGGCTTTCGTGTCAAAAGTGCTTTTACTTTTTCTATTACACAAAAAGCACTTATTTTACCAAACACTACCAACTTTTACTTTTCAAAATCATTTTTTTCTCAAACACCATCAACTTTTATTTAATCACTTTTCCTCATTTCATTAAAAAACACTCTTTTAAAAGCAGAAGCTGTTGCAAACAGACCCTTAATGTCTTTCCATCATGGATCGTTTTTACATTGTCTGCCGTCTACTATAGTACAAATGTTTACATGACAGTGGTTTTGTTTTAATTAATCATATAACGTACTACAGAGTAATTTCATCACACCTGATGTCCTCTCCCTCTTAACCTTCTTTGTGATGTGAATGAACAATTTTCACAAGAGGGGGTGGTGTGAAACCTCACCAACAACAAACTATAAATGAACATGGAGTGAGAAGGAAATGGAGTGACTTTCTATCTCCATCTAAATCACACAAAGCATGAATGCTGCATGTGTAGTAGAGTATTATGTAGCACATGTATACAGAAAAGGGTGGAAATCACCTGTCCTCTTCAACTGTTAAACACAGCGCAGATGCCTCACTAGAATGGTGAGACATCATGGGAAAACTTGAATTTCCTGACCTGTGGCTATATCATCATCTTTTTTCTCCCACTTGGGGATTTTAGTATATATATCCAAGGAGAGCTTGGGAGTAAAACCCTCCAGCACTTCATTTAACATAGGGCCGCTGTATCTTTGATACTGTGGGGAGGCATCAGTCCATATCCTTCTGCTCTGTCCTGGGGTAGATATGCGACCTGAGTCCATGATGATGTCCCCTTCAAGCATGCGAAGTACCTTCATGAATGTAACATTCCCATTACAATCTTGAAATTAAAGAGATGTGCCAACTTATATACAAACCGCTCATGGGTTTGTATATAGCGTTGCACGAAGTTGAAGAATAACATCGTTGCACAAGTTTTCCCAGAATTTCTAATGTAGCCAAGGCTTAATAAGGCATTAAGATATTCTTTTTCCCTACTTGGTTGTTTTCATGGGGAAGGGGGAAGTGCATAAACATACTTCCCTAAGACTCCAAGGCTCCATTTGGAATGTGGAAAAATCCTAGGGAATGGAAATAGGGAGGGACAAAAGAGGGAGATATTTGGATAGAAGAAAAAGATGAGGAAACTAAAATATTGGTTCAAACTTAATTAATTAATTTTTAATTATTTGATTGCATTCATTTTATTATATTTTCTATTATATTTATACTAAGGAATCAAAACTTAAGCAAAAACTTATTTTTTGAGACATTTTATTTTATCTTGGATTTTCTGAGGCGAGTCCAAGCATAATAAAGCACTTTCCTGTGCATTCTCTTTCCTCCCCTAGCTTTTTCCAGATCCAAACATAGTATAATGATCTGTTTGGAACTCGGAAAATGATAAGGAGGGTGATATCTGGAATGAAAGAGAATACACGGAAGAAATTTATTTTGATAATTAGGTTCAAACTCTTTTTATTTATGTTTTCTATTTTATAAAGCTGGGAAATCTAGATATATGTAAATATTTAAAGGTTCAATACAACTTTCCTTCATAATTCCTAAGGTAAAACCAAACAAAAATCATTTTCTTCATCATTTTATTTCTTTTCCGTACTAGGTTTGAATCCCAGCCGTAGCCTTAGTCTTGCCTCCAAGCCTCTAGAAATGGATTCCCTGGTTTTGGAGGAAAATATGGTCCAACACCTTTTACTCCTTTTAGGAACAGAGACATATTGTTTGGTTAAGTGAAAGGGAGGTCCAACACCATTATTTTCCCAGAGAAAGTAACACTATATATGGTCGCTGTATATCATTCTAAACCCAACCCATTACCAACTAGCCCAAATCTGTCATCTGACTGGCATCTAAAAAATTTCACAGCATTGTTCTTTTACGGTTTACACAAGACAGATTGACAAATACACAACCATAGCCATGGATGTGTTTATACCTGAGACATGCGTGGCCTGTCCTGAGGATCACGACGTATGCACAACGATGCAGCATGTAACATGCAATGAACCTCATGCTCCACATAGCAGTTTTCTAGCCTGGGATCGATCAATTCCTCAACGGCATATTCTTCCAACAATGGACGGGCCTGTGAATGGAAACCCAAACACAAAATAGATAATCTATGACAAAATAGATTCTATGCATATGATTGGGTTGCACTTAGAAGGACCCAGTAATCCAATATTTGGAAAGAAGCAAGCGAATCAAACAAACCCATTCTGTGAGGCACTGCTGGCCTTTGGGCCTGGTTAGATCCACTGCTCTGCGTCCGGTGACAAGCTCAACAAGTACCACACCAAATGAGTAAACATCGGCTTTTTCTGTGATCTGGCTGCTTTGAGTGTACTCTGGAGCCAAGTACCTGGACAGAGATACCCAAAAGAGTTGGTTTTTTTTATACGTAAAACAATCCATACCCAAAAATGGTAATCAGGGCAAGGGGAAGTGAGCACAAACCCAAATGTCCCAAGAATACGTGTTTCGACTGCTGTATCTCCATCAGGTTGCCATCTAGCTAGACCGAAGTCTCCAACCTAGCAATCCGAGAAAATAATAAAAATACAATGCAAATATTGTCACCCTAAATCTGCTAAACTGCAAAATTTCATTCAAGTTAAAACGTATCCTAGTTTCCAATTTCATCACCTCATTTCTTAGTAAATGGAATCTGTGTTATATTTTGTGATGCTTTTTTCTATGAATTTAAAGGGGTTAACTAAATTAATTAAAAGTGTAACCCTCATGTCACCAACCCAACTAGTTGCCCTCCATGAAAGGTCGATGGCTATCTCATTCATTGTTTACCAAGAATAATGATAACAAGAGCAACAGTAATCAAAATCCAACCAAAATTTGTGAAAGAGCATGAGTACTGAAAACTATAGCCTGAGCTAGCATAATATAAATTTCACATACCAGTGGTTCAAAGTCATGGGTGATAAGAATGTTGTTGGGCCGCATGTCTCGGTGAACAATGCATCCTACTCTACATTCCTCATGAAGATAACGCAATCCCCTTGCAGCTCCGACAGCCACCTTTTGGCGGGCAGACCACAATAAGGGTTCTTCATTATTTCCTGAAATTAGGCTGTTGATTATTTTTTAAATAAATAAAAGGTAAACTAAATACTAGCTAAAAATGAATAGTTGAAAAAATACAAAGATTCAGTCTTCAGATTAATGAATGAAAATATTCCACTTTTGGTCAGTCTTTTGAATGAATATTAGGACATTTTCCCTTTTGGTAACTTTCATTTCCCAGTTTTGGTGCACCGCTATTACTTTTTAGCACCTTTGATCCTTTTTATCACTAAACGGGTGTAAATTAACCAGAACATTGTCACTTAAGTGATTAGAATGACCAAAGTTGTGAAAAAATTCATTCATGCACCAAAAGTGTAAAAATGAAAGTCAGAGACCAAGAGTGAAAATGGCCTAATAGCTGCAGGACTAAAAGTGGAATATATTCTTTTATACGGAGTAATTATAATGGTGTAGATGTCCTACTCCTTCATAGAGGCGCATCTCCACAAAAGTAGCATTCATTTACTCTACTGCAGGTGGGGCATTAAATTCCTCTAATCCTATTTAGATTTGAAACGCGTGATAATCATCATAAATAAGATATATAAAAAGTAGGAGCATCACATACCATAAAGATGGGAATCTAAAGATCCGTTGCAAATGTATTCATAGACTAACATCCTTCTGCTATCTTCAATACAGAATCCTATCAACATAACTACATTCCGATGCTGAGCACAACTAAGAACCTCAACTTCTGAACAAAATTCTTGATCCCCTTGAGAACTTGCCAATTTATGTTGTTTAACAGCAACCACCTGACCGTCATTGAGGACACCTCTGTAAACAGATCCAAACCCTCCCTCGGCCAAAAAGTTGGTCTGAGAAAATCCACCTGTTGCATGTTCCAACTCAGCATAGCTGAACCACTTAGGAGGTTTCCCAAAGACAGGTGCCTTGTGTTGGCATATTGTACACAAGGGAGGTGGACCAAGAGGGGCACTTCTGGAAAGTGAAATTGCATCTCTCAAATTTCCGGTGAAATCCAGGTCAGACCTAAAGCTTGGGGATGCTGCAAATCTGCCATCTTCAAGCATGCCCTTAGTTGCATAGATTTGAGCTTGGTGGTGATGGGGGGACTGGAATTGTGGTTTGACAAAGTTGTTTGACATCCATGGATGAACAATTACATTTCTTGAGGAGCAAGACAGGTTTTCACTATCACTCTCCCAACGTGATTCATTGCCATGGTTGTCTTCTCTTATATCCAACAGCGCTCCTCTTTGTACATCTATACCTGGTAACATGTTGAAAAATGGAGAGGTTCCTCCTGGATCAGAACTGTAAGCTGAGGGGGGTACCGCCACCTTCAGTGGCAGTGAATATCTCTGGACTAGTGAGTATCTCTGGACTACTTGATTGAGATTTCTCTGGAGGCATTGAACTGGAAACTTCATTCTCCTTTTTACATGAACCAACTAAATTAAGGCGAAGAACTTTTGCTTGAGACCGCTTCATTACTACAATGTTGCATAGCAGCTCTTCCATGCAACGTTTTTCCTCGTGCTTGAGCTGCCTAAAAAGAATGTATAAATAGATGAATTGGCTAACCATGATGCAAAATAATTGTCAAAATTATGGTCTTGTGGGTAAAATGGCTGTTTTGACTGGTTCATACTTCATAGGATCCAATGGTTACATGAAAAATAGCTTGTAAAAGCTATTTGTAAAAGCTGGTTGTAAAGGCTAGGGATATGGATGTTTTGCTATAGCGTTAGCTCCTGGATGATTTTATTCTTCTTTTGATAGCTTTGGTTTTGTTTTTTACATTTTCCTGTTTTAATAACTGCAATTGAAATAAATAAATAAATAAATTATTAAATAAAAAAATAAATATCTATGATGCACAGAATCAAAATTACGGAGCAATAGCTATGAATATAGTCTAATACTGGTCCTACGAGCTAATAATTATTACATAAGGTTGTGTTTCAGAGAAACTAAATTCATATAAGTGAATGAAAGGCTAAAAGGATAAATATTACTTGTCGAAAATGACCCAATTCGCTTGAGTCCTCTTTGCCTCAGCAGCCACAGCCCCGCATGGTGACCCAGAAACAATTTTAATCTTGACATTTATCTGAAGGGAACCATAGTGGCATAGTATCAAGAAAAACTAATTCTTAGTGGTTAATGATATTTATGGAAATCATTAACCATAGTGGCATAGTATCAAGAAAAACTAATTCTTAGTGCTTAATTATCGATTAGAAACTAACCTTTTTCTGTTTATATACATTCTGAAGCTGAAAGATCATTTGGGAGCAGGAATCTGCTATGTCTGATTTCTGCTCAGAACTAGTTCCAGTGTGTGCCCTTCGATGACCATGGGCACAATCTCCTGCAAACCTTGGAAACCCCCATTTTCTACCTGAGGATGAAAGGGGTATCACTAAAGTTTTCACATAATGGAAATGTGGATTTGAGCAGCAAGAATGTGGTGGTTGGAAGCCTGGTTGGCGTTGCTATTCAGTAAACAAATTAACAATTGCACATGTGATACCAATAATTAAGTGTCAATCTTTGCAATGACTTGATGAGTCACGAATTATGTTTGGGTTACATAATACGTCACTAAAAAATAAAATGATAAACACATTTCATTTTTTGCATTATCGAAGGTAAAACCAAGCATGAAAACCAAAATAGATTTTGTTAGCAATGTTTTCTTCTTCCCAAGCATTCACTGGGATGAAAGTATCCCATTAAAATTGGTCCACACAAGGAAAACAACTTGTTGCTGAAGTTTTGTTATTTAAATGGGGCTTCTGATAATAAGAAATGCTGAGTAGGACTTACCAGAACTATGGGAAGGGACAATAACTAGAAGTGCAATGCAATCTCCTGGTTGAACAATATGTGTCAAGGCCCAAACAAGAGCCGTCTTGGGTATTTCCTTGGATGCCTTTACAGCTACCATAATCTTTTCCATCGGACTAGGATATCCTTATCCCCCCTCCTTTTTTTCACTTCCTGGCTCAATGACACAGAAAACTTCTTTCAGTGCTTCAATCTAACAGCCTCACAAGTAACATACCAACTCCACCAAAATCTTGAAATAATTGTCGTATTATGAAAATAAGAAACTGCCAAAGCATCTATAAGTAAATTTAAAACAACTAAAACGTAATAGTAATTACTGGATAAACCTCTTCTACCATACCTGCTACGTGATTCACATGCATTAATGCATGCAACTTATTGCTCCATCACAGTATATACATATACTATGGAGTACAAGAAAAAAAAACAAGGTTCCCGCTAAGAGACCAAAAAAAGACATTGATTGAGAATTTTCCAAATTACGTCTTGGTTACACCGTTGGGCACATGATTTCTGAAATAATGCAGAATAAGAGACAAGAAGTATATGTACCTAATATTAAACCAAAAAACTCAAGCCTAAATCTGCTGAATTATCTGAAATGAAAATCTTGTTCAGCTGAATAAATAAGCAGAAATCAATTTACTCTAATAATTCTGAGTAATCTTTGTTAACCACAATAAAGAAAAAATGGCTACCAAAGGGGTTCTAAATAACCAGAAATCAATTTACTCTATTTATAGCTGCAACCTCTTGATGTCTAAAATCAGCTTAGTCAAACCAGTGTTTTGAACGAAAAAACATCTTAAAATTAGCCGTTTCCCCAGATCAAAGAACTTTTTCCCATGTCTTCACGTCCTTGAATATCTTCCCTTCATTCGAAAAAATAAAAGTTCAACAAAGTACCCAATGTTCAGTAAAGCTAAAAAGCCAACAAATATTTGAAATGACATAAATTTAAAGTTGGGTGACTCCCGACATGATACTTTTTTCACAAAAGCTTCAAAACTACAAAATTCCGAGCCAAAAGAAAATCAAAGAAAATGAACCTGAAGTTATTCACAGGTTTAGACTTCAGAGCACATCATTCAAGCTGAAAATGCAGAGTAATTATTCGAAGGGGCGTCGAATCATCTGTGTATTTTCGTATTTCAATCTCCATCACACATATTGATTTCTTTCACGGCTCTAAAACTAATAATGACAATAGTAATTCCTAAAGGCCGTAACTATTGTGTCAAATGCGACCTTGCATAGACAATGCATACACAAAAAAAAGTGAGCTGAAACACTCGAACACCTCAGCATGCAAGTGAATTCGGAATCGGTTACATGAAGTAACATAGTTGCTGATAAATTTAAAGTAACATAGAACTAGTAAAGCAAAGGAGGTGAGATCGAGAGTGCAAACAACAACCGATATTTGAGGAACAGAAGGACTTGCAATCACGGGAACACAAAATTACTCACCAATCTGTGCAGAACGGACGAGTAGCTTGACTGAAATTATTGCAATTCTGCCGGTAAATAGGCCGGCCTTACAGAATCTGCTGATTTTGTTCAGTGGAGGGAAGGAAGTTCGTTTTCAGAGATATCTTTGAAATTTCGTAGTAGAGATATGTTTGATTTGGAGTGGCCCAGCTTCACTGCTCCCACATCTATTTTTAAACAAGGCTGTAAAAAAGGTATAACTAGCGGACAGCTGGCTAGTGTTTAAGTTCAATTAGTGTTCTTTGTTCATTTCAATTTAAATGAACTTGGGTGAGAGCTGCTTTAGATTTTGGAGTTTAACTTAAAAACTTAGGAGAGAGTATTGGGAGTTTGTTTTTGAATTGGTACTTTATATAGTTAAAGGCATGCTATTATAGTTTCTTCATTCATTAAGCATTTTTTCCTTGGATTTAAATTTTCCGCTTTGATCTGTTTGAGTTTAATCCGATAAAGTATGATAGTATACGTATTTCATTTTTGTTTAAGTGTGATTTGGTATAATCTTGTAGGAATAATATGCTAAATATGGTTTAGTTATATCTTACTACGTTTTATTTTAAGGTGACAACTCCGGTACCCATTTAAAAAACGATGTATCGTACCTACCATGAATTTGATTGGTCTAAATCATTAAATCCCTTTAAATTTAGATTTAAATAATTCAACTGCATGATTCTGATTGGTCGACAAAAGTACAGTACCTTATGGGTACCATAGAATCTATCTTTAAATATAGTCTGATCTCAAATTAAAAACAATGTAAGATAAATGATACAATTAAAGAACGTTAATGCATACAAATTAGAATGTTTTTAGTTAAACTGAAAATTTGTGATCTGGTCTATTATGTTTAAATTGAAGATATAGTTTGCTTTTATCATACTTTATCGGATTAAACCGAAGATATAGTTTGCTTTGTTTAATTGAACTCGTTTGGAAGATTTGAGAACACTCTTAACTGAAAAAATCCTTAAACTCGTTTGTACTCGTCCTTTTAAAAGACTATAATTGTGCTGGTCTGATCACTGTTTAATTCCTGCAGATAAATGTTCGACATTGTAATTAGTGTAATTAATTTGAAATTTTATGAACTTTGACGGTGTGTGATGTATCGGGTGAAGAGCTCTAAATCCAAAGTGCATCTCCAGCGGGAGAGTTTTAAAATATTTTTAAAATAGAATAACACCATATTGATTTTTATGGATAAATCGAAAAGTAATGATATTTAAATATGGAATTCTTTTGTTGTCGCATATATACTTTTAAGATAATTCCAAAACATTCAAACAGGTGAATCGTGAGACTTTCTTTAAAGCAAGCATTTAGATCGAATTAATTAAGAATTAATAATACTCATTTGGAGAGGAGTAATGATTAAAGTCGACATGTTGGAGTATCTCGAGATTACCTATGTGACATTATTGTTATTGAATTTGGCAATAAAGGTCGCATAAAACCTAATAAATTAAACAAGTATGGATATGATGAGTCAAGAACTCAAGACTCCTGCAAGTCTGCAACTCCATTACAAGACTGTTTTTCTTTTGAGTTTTTTCAGTACAAGACTAGACCAAACTTAAACATATTAGACATGTCCTAACTACTTCAGATCAAACCAGATCAGATCATACTTCAGTAGTTATAAAATACACAGAGACCAGATATTTACCAGATCAGACCCGACCAGACCAGATCAAACTTAAATAGATCAGACCAAAATAGACCAGCAAATTTCAGTTCAAGTAAAAACATCTAAGAGTAATTTCATTTTTCTTTTGAAGCATTAAACGGTTAGCGGATAGTGGATTATGTTAGAAGGTTAACAACAACGGATTCAGGTGGCGGGTTTGACTAACATAATAAGATGGCGGGTTGACGAATTGTCAGAAGATGTTTGGTAATTTAGCTGTTTGGACGTAAAATTAGTAGGAAATGCCATATTTCAAAATGCTAATCCACAACTCTTCTATTTGTAGCGTTTCGTTTCGACGCTTCCGTCCAAAAATGGTAGTACCTAACAACTTTTACCTAATACTCCGTAATTTTTTCACCATTATTAGGAACGTACTTGCCTTATTCATCATTATTTTTTCACAGCTTGCCTTATTCATCATTATTCAATAAAATTAAAACATGTCATATAGGAACGTACATAATAGATGTATATCAGTATATGCATCATTGCTCTTGGCTTCAAAGAGTTTGATAATCAAAAGTTAAAGTGTAACCAAACGATCTCACGGTTCCATACTATAACTAAAATGTAAGCTATCATTTGGTACTCTCGTTGAGATAAAGAACAATCAAGTTGGTACTTTCCTTGTAGAAACCTTTATAAATGGTTGTAGTGCCCACCCGATGTAATACTTTCTGGCTCCGTTTGGAAACCAACGGAATGGCCAAACCGCCAACTATTTTACAAAAGAAAACACTATGTTTTCTAGCGTTTTGGCTTCCATCCGCCAACTATTCATTTGACTCATTCTTTTCCACGCATTTTTGTACATAGTCAATTTCCTCCTTCATTGAATGTATGCTTGTATGTCCTTGATGTCGTGACCTCAGAGTACTTGCTTGTATGGCCGAGGTGGGCATCCATATCTTTGCCTGAGGAAAAATTAGGACTTAACCAATTTGGTACTTTGTCAAAGATCCATTGGTTGTGAACCAGTCTCCCCAAAGTGATCATTAGGACTTAGCCAATTTGGTACTTCGCCAATTTTCCTCCTTGTTTAATGTATAATTTTCCTAACCTCTAGGACCCCGCGGTGACCACTTGTGAGTATCATTAAGCCATATCGAAGTGATCATCTGTACTTAGCAAATTTTGTACTTTAGCCATTTTTTGTCTGGAGTGTATTCCTTTTGTCTTTCCCAAATGATATACCAAGGGGACAGGTTCCCTCAGGGTAGCTAGTGAATGACACCAAGTTATCTACCCGTCTAATTGTAGTACACTTCGAAATACCGGCTAATGAATGCCCAGGTGCCAACGAGGATATGGCTTAGCGAAAAAACCGGACCTGTAAATATCTTGGGGGTTTATTCTATTTTTCATTGCTCGTGATAGACGGTGCGTCATACCCTCGGCTACCCTCTTTTTTTGTGCTTCTCTTTTCTCTTCGGAGCGAGAAGGTATTTGATATTTTTTTGCAGAATTTTGTTGGTCCGTGGGTTGGAAAATGGGTTATTTGTTGCCCCTCATCCTATGACATTTTGCCTCACTTAAGGGTTCCCGACATCTTAGGCCGTTGGAGTAGGAATTTTTGGTTGTCGCTCTGAACCCCTCGAAAACGCTCTTAAGTCTTAAGAGTGATTCGAAATCTCAGCCATTTTGCAGGCCTGTCGTCCATCGATTTCGAGAGGACAACGCAACAAACGTCTCCTTTGGGACCTGAACCGTTTTTCAGGCTTGTGATCCCAGGTGCTAAGTTTGTCACGGGCCATGCTTTCATGGATTTCATACTGTGGGGCCGAGGTGACTACTTAGTAATTTCCCCCTTTTCAATCTTTTGGAGAGATGTGTAGGAAGTATTATTATACTCCCTCCGTCCCATTTAAAGGTCCCCGTACACTATTCTCCGGTCAACGTGCATTGTTCTTAATCTTTTACTTTATATATCAAAAGTTTATGAAATTTAAATTATTTTTTGCAGGTTTTGTAACGGTTTTAATGTAGTTTCAGAATATGTAAATTTTATTTACTAAAAGTAATTCTATTAATGACAGGGATATGCTAACTTTATGGTCAGTCAAACATCGTAATTAGTGTGAGAACCTTAAAGTGGGACGGAGGGAGTATTAATGATGGTGGCTCTGGGTTGAGGATAAGGATCTATCAATAACCCACAAAAGGAGTTTGGCTTGTAAATGAGCCTCTAACCTCGGGAGTGGGGGCTTGGCCCGTCACCACTGCCTTAGGTTTATTGATTGAACTACACCAGATGATGTACATTCCACAATCGTAGCATTCCAGACCCATTTGGGTGCTTAAGTTTGTGCGTGCCAGTGTTTACGACTGCGGTGATGATTAAGGGTCCTTCATACTTCTGAGCTAGTTTGCCGCCCTCGGTTGGTTGACTTGCCTCCCGCCTTTGGAGGACACAGTCTCCCATCGAAAATTCCCTGGAGCGAACATTGGCGTCATAATAGGACTTCACTTGGCAGCGATAGTTCTCGGCTTGGAGGTACACCTGCTCCCTTCGTTCTGAGATGAGGTGGAGGTCTATTCTCATATTCTCATCATTTTGCTATGCCTCATACTCCTCCACCCGCAGAGATGGTATGGTCACCTCAGTGGGGATTTTGCCTCGAATACATAGCATGGGACGAATGGAGTTTCACATGTAGCATGCCTCAGAGTGGTTCTGTAGGCCCAGAGTATGTTGTGTACATCGTCAGCCCAACTTCCTCCTTCTGCTTCTAATTTCTTCTTGAGGCAACACGGCGAAGGAAGAAGTATGCTTTATGCCCCAGGCTACTAAGAGTTCTTGGAAAGGAGCCTCCTTCAATTGGGTATCATTTTCCAAGATGATCTGCTGAGGAACATCAAAGCGGGTGGGGATTTTCTTGAGGACAAACTTCCTACACCTCGCCTCGATGATGTTTGCTAATGGTTCAACCTCTATCCACTTTGAGAAGCACTCAATGGACACAATGATGTATCCGTTGTTGCCTGCTCCCCTTGAAAAGGGTCCAACGAGGTCAACCCCCCTTCTTGAGAATGGGATGACAGTGCTTACCAGGGCGTAGTTGACTGCGGGACGCCCCAAAACTTGTTGAAAGTGATGAAATGTGCCCTAACACTTGAGATTAATTTAAAAGGACTAATAGTACTACTCATACCAACAAGGTGCATCTCCATGTAAGGGAGCTCATCAGCTAAGAACTCCAAAATTAAGCGTGCTTGCACGGGAGCAGTCTTGGGATGGGTGACCCTCTAGAAATTTTCTCAGGGTGCACACGAGTGAGGACAAAGTGTGCGGAAAAGGCTAGTGGGGTAACTACTTCGGGTGTTGCGGGGTCGGGGTGTTACATGTGGTATCAGGGTAACCCTGCGACAGTGTGTTGATCCGTTGGATATCGAGCGGGCACTTAGCAGGGGAAGATTCTGGAATATGATTGAATTGGTTTATGAGCGCAACGAGGACATTGCGATCCTAAG